ATGAAAATAAATTAAATAATAAAAGTACCTGGTAACCTGTTTACATCCATGACGTCACATCACCATGGCCACCCCGTTTCATTTTCTCAACATAAAATAAATTAAATTAAAAATAGTTAAATACTAATATACTGTATTGTACATTGATGATAATTTTTTTTTAAATATTCAAAACGTCTTGAAGAGGTAAACAAAAGGCAAGAATATTTGGTCTATATTTAATTAAGACATTCTACAGTCATGTTAGGGCAGGAATGAAGCATCTGGCATATATTCAAAAATACCCTACAAGAACCGCGACAATATGATCTGGCTTTCTTTACATAACGTCCACAACAGAATAATTTCTATACGTCTGTCATAAACATTAAATCTCTAAATCCAGCAAAAAAAAATTAAAAAAAAAAGTTGTCTCGCGATTTCAACTATATGGCCACGATTCTCAAAGATTAGTACGCGGTCTTTTACGATAAACCCCTCCCCCCTCTCGAACTCCTTTAAGCTATGATACAAAAAATGGCTTTGGAAGTTTTAGTGATATATATTCTCTCGTTACAATATGCAATTTTTTTATATCCCTAAGGCAATTTTGTTTGACATACGAATCTTTGAGAATGTCGTGGCGGGCATGTACTGTAATGTGATGGGGTAGAGACGTAGACCATGTGCATTGAAAAGTTGCCTGACCATATGACGTGTTGTCCCAGGCATATTATTCCTTTCATTTACCTACTATAACCTTATGACCTTACCTGGGCACTGAGGTGTAGACAAACAACAATCACGATATATTTTCCAATTATTTATGGAAAGTTTTACGTTTTTCTCGTCAACACAGTAACCACTTCATCACTTGCCGCGTCAAAACACAACGAACCAAACCTGATGACTCGAGTTACACCTTCCCGAGAATATGTAAAAAAAAAAAAAATCTGTTACTTTTCACTTCAATGATTCAGGTTTTTGTTTTCTTCATCATTGACTTAACCTAAATTCACAACGTGATCACAAATTTTCAAGTGATAGTAATATTTTTTTTTATTTAAATTCACTTCTCGTTTCATATCTCACAATCAAATAAGCTCTTCCTTCAATCTCAAATGTTCGGTACAGGAGTTGGTTTCGAACTTTCCTTGGTGAAGCATGAGCCATCTCCGTCCACTAGAGGAAAAGGGATTCTATGTTTTGGCCATAAAATATCGTCACTGTAAGTAAAAGATGGGCGAAGGTTCGTCCGGCGAAGCTTTTATAGGCGAGTAACTTGGGGAGGATTGAAGGGTACGCCAGGGTCTTCTTGAGTGCTCGTACTGGCGTTATTTTCTTGGCAGGGGTTCACACTAGGATTCAGACCATCTCGAAGCTTCTTACAGATCAAAGGCTGTGTTGTGACTCCCACGTTCACTCCCCTGGTCTGTTCAACTTGAGATTCGAAACAGTTTCCTTCAAGTTCACGGCACCACACTAGCCTAACTTAACTTAACCACACCAACCTAACCTAACTTCAAAATGGCTTACTATCGTGTTTTAAGAGATTTAGAGGTTTGAACACTTTTACACCAGGCAATTGTCATTCATTGTGTGTCAGTATTCATCTCCGTCATACACTCGCCGATAGACGTAGACACAAGGCAGGTGAGGTGAAAATAATCCCATCCAAATCCTGTTAGTATAATTCATCTCTTGTTAATACAAAAATAAAAGGTATTTAATTGATTCTTTTCTTATGGACATTAAACAAACTTGTAATTAATTTAGTCTATTTTAACTTTAATTAACGAAATACTTAAGTGAATATTTTTCTTTCAATAAAAACAAATCGATTTTTTTTCAACATGCAACAGAAAGTTAATTAAATATTCAACATTCAGAATATAGTAAATATAGTTGATTTTCTCCATTAAACATTCAATAAAAATGTTAATGAAATGAGTCGTTTCCCTCCAACATTCGAAACAGTTCCACTCGGACAAATCGACTAAGTGAATCATTCTTATAAAAACATTCCAACATATATCGTTATAAAAAGTTACTAAAATGAATGTTTATTTTATCTCCTTCAACATTCAACAAACATTTTACATAAACACTAAATATATAAATTCTTTCATATAAACATACAACACATCAATATATAAATCATTACAAAGATTATTTTTTTCTCTCAACACAAGAAATATTTACACAAAAAAAAGCTTTAAATATTTTTGGCTTTTAACATTAAAATTTATGATATATTTTTTCTCACAAGATATTTATATAATAATAAGAGTAACACTGGACAAAAAACTCTCGTGTAAGTAAAAATTCTTATCAGTCATATCAGTACTGGCAGAGTTAGGTGAATGGTCCCTCCTTCCTCTCTTAGCACATCACAATACAACACATCACGACACATCTCTGGATATAACCTGAACGTCAACTTCACGAGCGGTTTAACCCTTTGCGTCCTGGAGGGTTAAACCATCATCATCAAAGGGTTAAAGTATCATCCTCAAAAAGTTAAACCATCGTCCTCAAAGGGCTAAACCTTCATCCTCAAAAGGTTAAACCATCGTCCTCAAAGGGCTAAACCTTCATCCTCAAAAGGTTAAACCATCGTCCTCAAAGGCTTAAATGACACTCACTCACTCACATAACATTCCCAAGTTCACTGAATCTTTTTAAGTTGTTATTCTCGTACCTAACAGGTAGTCGAGTCTTAGTGAAGTTATATTTAGCATTTATGTTAATTACTCAGGTGTGTTATTATCTTTGGGATGTAAGACCAACGTGTGTGTGTGTTTGTGTGGTGTGTGTGTGTTTGTGTGGTGTGTGTGTGTTTGTTTGTGTGGTGTGTGTGTGTTTGTGTGGTGTGTGTGTGTGTGTGTTAACCTAACTGGAGATGTGAGAACGTTGGAAAAGAAAAAACGCACAAACGAAGAAAAAAGGGAAAAATGCTTCGAAACTGTCCAGGTGCTTTGGGGGGGGGGGGGGACAGGTTGTCTTTCCTTAATGAATTAGGTAATATGAAGGCTGGTCCCACCTGTGTCTTGTGGTGGTGGTGGTAGGTGGTGGTGGTGGTAGGTGGTGGTGGTGGTGGTGGTGTGTGGTGGTGGGCTCCTGTGGTGGTGGGCTCCTGTGGTGGTGGGCTCCTGTGGTGGTGGGCTCCTGTGGTAGGGTGTGGGGGTAGTGTGGTGTGGTATTGGAGTATGGTGTGTGGTAGGGAGTTGCGTGATAGTGTAGTGTGATGGGTGTATGGTGGTGTGTTGTGGTAGTTTTTGTATAGTATTTGTAAAAGTAATATTGGTGACAGTGGTGGTGATGGTGGTGGTGGTGGTGGTGATGGTGGTGGTGGTAGAAGCAGTGGTACTAGTTGCTATAACCAAGACGGTGAGAATGAAAAACGGATATAATGATGATGATGATGATGATGGTACTAATGATGATGTTTACAGTGCTTCATATCCAGCACAATACACAACACACTATCACTCACCACCCTCCTGTATGCCTCCATCCCTGTATCTCCAACATACAGGAATACAGTACATCATTACAGTATTTCAGCATCTTCAGGTGATCCAAACTAACCCTATATAATATATCTGTTTTTGTCTCCTTAAATCTTTCGTTCTTAAAAATAAAATCGATCAAATCCTCCAGTGTTTGTCATGTTAACTATTACCACAGACAGAAAACGGGAAATGTGATCTAAGTAGGCATAGAAAATGGAGTGTATGGCCCTCACTACATGAAGGAAATGTAATGTATGGGATCCAGTGAATAAAATAAATAAGAGATTCATTGCAAAGAAACAACTGAAAATATAACCTTCACTGCCCAAAGAAAACGGGAAGTGTGGCATATAGATTCACTTGGCTGGCGACAACAACAATAAAAAGAACAGAAATAATAATAATAATAATAATAATAATAATAATAATAATAATACCACCACTACTACTACTAAACAATTGTCTGTCATAAAACACACCTACGACCACTATAACCTACCACGGTATGTCTAACACGAGTGAGAGAATAACGCTCCCTATACCTACACTATAATACTCCACCTAACGCCTTTACCTTGGACCCAGTGTGTGTGTTAAAACGTGTACACATATACCTACATATACCAACATATACAGCTATACTCACATATATGAATGGATAAAATATGTGACAATGTGATTATTTTTTTTTTAGATATTAATGAAGAAATATACATATGGAGAATTAATACATACTGATGAATCTTATTTATGTATACAGTGGTAATTATGTATCTATTTAGAATAATACACGAGGAGGAGAAAGACACACATGGTCAGCCATACATATGTGTAAAATACATATGGAGTGTATGATGATGGAGTGTGCTTTGATATATATATATATATTTCTTTGAATATACATAGAAATTATACTCATGGATACATACATACATACATAATGCTTACATACATAATGCTTACCTAGATATACATACATACATAATGCTTACATACATAAATACACCATCTGAAATTTATGGAGTTTGATAAAAATACACATTATGATACATTTATATACATACATGACAGTGTGACACATACTGAAAAATATGATGTAACAAAGATACATTATATTGAAACATATCTTTAGGCCTCTGTGAATTATTCCTTTAAAACACATATTTCAGTGAACTATACAACCAGTGAAAAATACTGACATACATTCAAACCACACTGTAACACCTAGACTAGTGGTTACTGAAATATAAATACTGAAAAATATTTGGTCTAACTTGAAAAACACATATATTATAATGATGAAATATACTTGAATGAAAAAAAAAACACGTATGTATTCTTCTATGAAACATACACATTACTGAAACAAACACTGAATGAAAAATATACTTAACACACACACACACACACACACACACACACACACCACGAAAAAATATTATAGATTAAGAAACACACAAACATACATACATACACAAAAGGCGTATCTGTAATCACTTCCACACACAGACAACACACACAAATATATTAACACACACACACACACACACACACACACATAAAACTAATATAATTTTTCTGCTTGTATTCGTTATTCCATTCCTCCTGACGGGGATGTGTGTGTGTAGTGACGCTGCTGAAGGAGATCCTACACGAAGAGAATACCCGCAGTCACCAGCAGGAGCCAGGAGGAGTATACGAGCTGGGTGATGCTGGTGGTCTTGGTGCCTGGAGGGGAGAGAAGGAGAGAGAGAGAGAGAGGGGGGGGGAGATGATGATTATTTCAGAGAGAGAGAGAGACAGAGAGACAGAGAGAGAGAGAGAGAGAGAGAGAGAGAGAGAGAGAGAGAGAGAGGGGGGGAGAGATGATGATTATTTGTGAGAGAGACAGAGAGAGAGAGAGAATCCGCCCACACACAAATCCATCCCTAAGCCAAACTACCTCCCTCCCCCCTCCCTCTCTCTCTCTCTCCCTCCCCTTAACCTAACCATACTTGCTCCTCCCACACTCCCCAAATTTCCCCACCACCACCACACACCACCCTTACCCCACACCCATCACCACCTCCCCACAAACAGTATACTACCCATCTCTCCTCCCCACACACACCCCCCAACCTCCAGTTCCCGAGGCGTTGTCCATATCCTTTAAAAAAACAGTAACATGTGTCCCAAACTTTAGCTGATGTCTGGGAAAAAAAATGAAGAACGAGGCGCTAACTTCCACAACAACAGATAAGCCCCGAGGAGAGGAGAAGATGGTAGCGCATATTGTTGAGTTACCCCTTAATGTGTGTTTAATGTCCGTTTTCTCTCATAAGATACAGGGAAATTTGGAGACTTTTTTTCTCCTTCTAAGATACAGGGAAACTTGGAGACTTTTTTTTCTCCTTATAAGATACAGGGAAATTTGCAGACTTTTTTTTCCCCTTGTAAGATAGAGAGAAATTTTGTTGCGATTTTGTATTTATGCATCGACAAGAGGGAAGATTGATGGCTACATTTGGTATTTATAATAATTTGGGTTTAGTTGATTATTAAAAGGTATTTATTATAGTAGAAATATATGAAAGACGGTAAAAGAAACAGGGAAACGAATTTAACTTTAGAATTGTATTAAAGTCGTTATGCCGCATGTAAACCTTACCTAACCCAACATAACTTAACGTAACCTTACCCAACATAACTTAACTTAACGTAATCTAACTTAATCTAAAAAAAAATCGTTAGGTTAGGTTAGTTTGGCTTATATCATCTTTCATAAATGATTTAACGCCTTAGCCTCACACGCACACACACACACACACACACGCGCGCACACACACACGCGCGCACACACACACAGGTGAGGATAGTAAAGATGTTTGGCTCAGAGAAAAGGTCAATAAAGCAAAGATGTGTGCTGATCCACGTGTGTGTGTGTGTGTGTGTGTGTGTGTGTGAGTGTGTGTGTGTGTGAGTGTGTGAGTATGTGAGTGTGTGAGTGTGTGTGATGTGAGTGTGTATGTGGGAGTGTGTGTATGTGAGTATGTGAGTGAGGGTGTGTGTGTATGTGTATGTGAGTGTGTGTGTGTGTGTTTATGTGAGTGTGTATGTGAGTGTGTGTGTGAGTGTGTGTGTGAGTATAATCACTTAACCTAACCTAACCTAACCCAACGTAACGTAACCTAACCTAACCTAACCTAACCTTTTGCCTTAAACTCTGAGGTAATTTCGAGAATTTTAATCCTTCGAGCAATACCTTCTACGCTGTGCTTTTTATTCACTAAAAGACGAGTGTGTCTACAGTACTTATAAACAAACTGTAAATTATTATTATTATTATTATTATTATTATTATTATTATTATTATTATTATTTCATATACAGATAACTTAATTCATATTTCATCTCACAAATACAAAGATACAACAATAACAAGAAAAATCATCAAATGGCCACACACACACACACACACACACACACACACACACACACACACACACACACACACACCACGTCATTTGTTTATATGAGTTAGTTCGGGTGGTGGCCGCTTCACAGTGGTGGCGCTGAGTGTAGTGCAAACATCATTACTCCTCGACTGGCCCGCCATCAACACTCCACCGCCTTCACTACAAACACCAGAGAATTTCCTGCCTCAGATAGATAAGAACCGATAGATGGGTGGAATTGATAGATAAATGGGGATAGATAGATAGTTAATTAGACGAGATAGAATGATACATAAATAGGAATATGGTTAGAGAGAGAGAGTATAAACGAATGATCGCTAATTAATCAACATACAGTACACCTGAAAAATTATTGACAGGTAGACGAACGATTCTGAAAAGGTTTAATTCACAGGACTCTCCAGGTAGGGATGAATTATGTATAGTTTTGTATGTATAAGTTGTATAGTTGTTGTATAGTGGTATGTATAGGTTGTGTATTATGTGTGCTTGTGGTATAGAGTAATGGGTTGTCTTAGGTGTTTTATTATTATTATTATTATTATTATTATTATTATTATTATCATTATTATTATCAATGTTATTACTACTACTATTATCAATGTTATTACTACTACTATTATTACTATTTCAGTGTGTGTGTGTGTGTGTGTGTGTGTGTCCCAAAGAACAGGTTTTGTGGATTTGCATCAAAGTTTGTAAAGCTGATCAGCATGTGACAAGCTGCTCATTATAAACTTGTGTTGTAAATCGCGTCAAAACTGTCTCACTGTTGTCATGGTAATGTGGCCTTTTTTTAGTCCCCTTAGGATATATAGAAAACGAAGACAAGAGACAGTTTTCAGAGGTGACTACAGTAATTCTCACAAAACGCTGCCATGGCTACGGTTCGCGGGCAGCGTTTGTGTCTGATCAAATGATGAATAAAACATAACCTACACAAGAACAGACAAACAAACAAGAAAACAAACTCCTAGACAGACAGACAAACTCCGAGACAGACAGACAAACTCCCAGACAGACAGACAAACTCCTAGACAGAAAGACAAACTCCTAGACAGACAGACAAACTCCCAGACAGACAGACAAACTCCCAGACAGACAGACAAACTCCCAGACAGACAGACAAACTCCCAGACAGACAGACAAACTCCTAGACAGAAAGACAAACTCCTAGACAGACAGACAAACTCCCAGACAGACAGAAAAACTCCCAGACTGACAGAAAAACTCCCAGACAGACAGACAAACTCCCAGACAGACAGAAAAACTCCTAGACAGACAGAAAAACTCCTAGACAGACAGACAAACTCCCAGACAGACAGACAGACAAACTCCCAGACAGACAGACAGACAAACACACAGGAACTACAAATCAATATACCCCCTCTCACCACCATATCGTTATTCCCGCACCACGACAAACTTTCAAAAAACAACTATCGCAAACAACTAAGAATTTGCATAATTGTTTACATTGTGTTTGGGAGCGTTGTTTGGCAGCTCAGATAAGGGACCCCCTAAGAGCAAGAGGGACACAAGGCCCTTATACCACTGTTGCTTAGGTTCATTTAGAGGTGGAGATGAGGTGGTAATGTAACCCTTATGATAGTATGAGAGTAAGATGTTATTGTTCTTATTATTATTATTGTTATTATTATCATTTAACTCTTTGTGGTTTCTCTTCAAATTCCATTATTTCTTATTCTTTCTCTTCGTTTCCTCCCGCTTTTTTCACTCTCTTCCTCCTCTTTTATCTATTCTTCCTCTCCTTCTAGATCTCATATAATTCTTTCCTTCTCCTTCTTCCTCTCCTATTTATTATAACAAAATTCTCTGGCCTATGGAAACAATAAGGCAGGCACTACACTCGACCATCGTCACTTCCTAAACTGTAACGTCAGGTACCTAATCGCAGCTGGGTGGACTATGGGGAGGGAGGGAGGGCGTAAAGCAGAGGACTCTTAGGATATAAAGTGAGTGTTGTGTCCACTCGGCAGACAGACAGACAGACAGAGACAATCATATCCAACAAAAGGAAAAACAAACAAAAAAAACAAAGACCTACAATTCTATCCAAACATACAAACAATTTTAAAAACAGTCAAATAAAATCCCAACCACAACTATAGGATGAGGGTGTATGTATGTATGTATGTATGTATGAACTTGTGTGTGTGTGGGCGGTCAGGCAGGGTGGTAGAAGACACAGGTCGTTTAAGCACCAGGAGGGGGGGTGTCGCGGCTCGTCAGGCTGGTGTGCAACATGGAGGTTAGTATGTAAATGCACACTACTGGCTCACCCCTACCACCACTGAGCCACCATCCCTCACCATTTCACACTGCCACCTCCCTCCTGCTCTCTTGTTCCCCTGATATTTAGGTACCCATGCTGATACTCGTCACAGGAGTCCTGGCTCGACGGTCTTTCTAGGTGTCCGAGGGAGGAGGGGAGGGAGGGGAGGGAGGGAGGGAGGGAGGGAGGGAGGGAGGGAGGAGGGAGGGAGGGAGGAGGGGGGGGGAAGAAAAAGAGAGAGGGAGAGGGAGAGGGAAGGGAGGGGAGAAGGGAAAAAGAGAATGGGAGAGAAAAGGGTAGGAAGGCAGAGAGGGAAGGAGAAGAGGGAGAAACAATGAAAGGAGAGAGTGGGGAAAAAGGGAGGGTGAGAGAGGGAGAGATGGAGAGGGGGTGGGAGAGGGAGGAGGAGGAGGGGAGGTGAGCCTTGACCACCAACTGAGATTGGAAACAGTTACCAAAACAAAAATTGAATCTCAGTTATTATGAAACCAACCTAACCTAACCTAACCTAACCTAGAGGACCATCTGATTACCGTCTTGTTCCTGCTTCTTTCCCTGCTCTTACTTCCTTCCTTCCTTTCTCTCCTTCCTCCTCGTCTTTCTTCTCCCTCATCACTATCACCCCCTCGTACTCTTCCACTTCCTCCTCCTCCTTCTCTAACTCCCCATCTTCCACCTTCACAACCACTACCACCCCCTCTTCCGCCACCCCCTCTTCCTCCACATCCTCCTCCTCTACCCTCCACCCCCCCCCACACCACCCCAGAAAGAAAAACAATCTAAGAGCATTTTTTCCCCCTTTACTCGGGGGCCACAACACCAGCTCCACATTCACTTCTACTGACGAAGACGACCACATAAAGTTATCCACCCCGCTACAGTCGCCTCCATCCTCGACACAGTACTGGGAAAAACAACTTGGGGGTCTTATAGGTCTTGTTGTGATGTCTTTTCCCTGTAAATGATATTGTAAAGTTTTTTTTTAAAGATCTCTTGTAAACAGAAGCAGATATGTTCACTTCAACGCTGGATGTTATAGTTTGTCGAGTATCTGTTGTAAGTGTATGGAATTTACTTTACTTTATCTAACCTAACCTTAAACTAACCTAACTTAACCTAACCTAACCTTAAACTAACCTAACTTAACTTAACTTAACCTAACCTAACCTAACCTTAAACTAACCTAACTTTAATCTAATCTTAACTAAACTAAACTAAACTAAACTAACCTAACCTAGACCTATACAGCGCCCGGCTAAGACATGATGGTATCCCGCCTGAAATCCCCTCGAAGAGAGAGAGAGAGATAGAGAGAGAGAGAGAGAGAGGCGAAACAGAACTACAATTTAAAGACATTTCCCCTTTACTTCTTCTATACAGGTGCGGTGGCTGAGTGTATACAGTGCTCGCTTCCCATCCTAAGGGTCACTGGTTCGATCCCAACAGGTTATATCCACTTCACCCAGATGTAAAACAGGTTATGTATTTTTACATGTGAGGGGAAATGAAGGCGCTTGAGTGTAGTGCCGTCCACGAATGTTTTCTCTAACGTGTTGAAGGCTTAGTGTACTATGTAGCAAGATGTAAACAAAACAGTCCCCTCAATCGTGTAAGTTATGCCTATGGGACCCACTTTCACACCTTCGATTCTTATTCTTTATATTCATAATCTAACCTAACCAAATCTAACCTAAATTAACCTAACCTAATCTAACTTAACTTAACCTAACTTAACTTAACCTAACTTAACCTAACCTAACCTAACCTAACCTAACCATCCTTTCCTCTCCAACAATTAACACTTTCAGACTATCTCAACATTCAAGGACACACACACACACACACACACACACACCCCAGGAGACTGTACAAGTTCCACCATCTGTCTGATACACACGATCCTAACCCTTCCTCTTCTCTGCCAAACTTGGATGAATTTTTGTCAACTTAATCTCGATATTTCTTGAGTTTCTGGTATGGTCTGGCCACACACACAGTTAATATGATCAACATCTTTTGTTTCATCTCCTAAGTAATAATTTGTCTAGAGAAAGGTATGCACGCGCGCGCGCGTGTGTGTGCGTGTGTGTGTGTGTGTGTGTGTGTGTGTGTGTGTGTTCCAAGAATCTCTCACAAGACGTTCCATTTTCTATAAAGACGACGACGATTATTATTATTATTATTATTTTTTCCTTCTAATCTTATTTCTGTGATGGGAGTCTGGAGAGGGAGGTAAAGGCTGCCAGGTGGTCAGAGCCTTCGTGACTCACTCTCTCTCTCTCACTCTCTCTCTCTCTCTCTCTCTCTCTCCCTGCCTCTCTCTTCTTACCTTCCTCACCTCTCACCTGTGGGAGCTAACGAGGTACAGGTCTGCCTTTTTCAGCTGACCACCAGGATTTAACAAAAATAATAATAATAATAATAATAATACTCTAATAATAATAATAATAATAATAATACAACAATAATAATAACAACTACACCAACACCAATTAAAAATAGTCAAAGTAAGATAATACTTTTCTCAAAGGTGTTATTATTTACCCCGGCAGGTGAACCAACTCAAAACAAAGCCATTTAATAAAACCGCTTAACTCAGCAGGAACAGCTCGATACGCTAGATTGTCCGCTGGTAAACAAATACTAGGGAGGAAACGAACCCACAGAAGATTGGATTCTTTAACATTTACAGTACTTTATTTATTTATTTATTTGTTTATTTACAACATTTATTTATTTATTTTATTTTATTTATTTATTTTATTTAGGGATTCGTTACTATTGCTTGGGGGAATATGGGATTGGATAGGTGATATTTCGGTACTGATGTGACCAATTCTAGTATGACCCCAGTTCTAATATGCTCCTAATATAATCTAACCTGATTTATGGAATTGGAGCATATAGTTTTAGTCTAACCTAATCTAACCTGATTTATGGGATTGGAGCATATAGTTTTAGTCTAACCGAATCTAACCTAACCTAAGACAGACAGACAGACGTTCGGCAAAATCACCATACAAGTTTACATTGATTAAACAGTCATATACGTAAACAATACAGACATACAAACAATATACATAGACACTACAGACATACAAACAATAGTAAACAGTAATTATCTTAGAGGAGTTTAAGCTAAATAATTATTTAATGTTGGGTAATAGATTAAATTAATTGAGGTATTGGCTCACGTTATTTATGGGTGATTGTTAATGTTATTTATTAGTGTGTGGTGGATTTGGAGACGCACATGAAGTAGGGGATGTGTGTGTGTGTGTGTGTGTGTGTGTGTGTGTGTGTGGAGGATAATTAGATCGTTAAGGATATTCAGCAAGTTAAATGGTTGTTGTTGTTGTATTTGTTGCTATCATAGTTGGAAGAGGAAGAGGAGGAGGAGGAGGAAGAGGAGGAAGAGAAGAGGAAGAAGTAAAGGAAGAGGAGGAAAGTTTGGAGGAGGAAGAAGAGGAGAAGGAAGAAGGGATTAAATATTAAAAAAAATTGACAAATGTTTAATAATTAGACAGATAAATGTTTAATAAATAGACAGATGAATGTTAAAAATGTTAGATAAAGGACAAGAGAATGTTAAATAGGATAAGTAAATGTTAAAAATGTTAGACCAGGGACAAGATAAATGTTAAATCGATAAAACTAACATTGTGGCTCTTAACCTGACCCTCACCTAGATGTTCCGTAGTTTTAATTGGAGTAGGGAAGCCAGGTGGGTGTGTGTGTGTGTGTGTGTGATTCATGTACCTTTATATCTATTTTGGGGTATATATACGTACATGTGATCTTATGTACACACACACACAGATATAAACATATGTATACAGTACATGAACATACAATCGTACACACAATGCAATCACAAACATACACTGATACATACGGATATATACGGTATACTCAATAGACACATACATGAACATACATATACACATACACGTAGTGATAAACGTATACAGACAGACAGACAGACAGGCAGGCAGACACTCCTCCCCAAGCACCTGAAATCGTCCCACTCTCTCTCCCTCCCTTCCTTCATCCTCCTTCCTTCCCTATCTCTGTCCCTTCATCGTCCTCCTCAACACCTCCCTCCTTCAATCCTTCTCTCCTTCCCTCCCTCTCTCCTTCCTTCCCTTCCTCCCTCCTTCACCTTCCCTCCCTCCCTCCCTCCTTCCCTCCTCCCTCTCTCTTCACCTTCCTCCCCCCCCTCCCTCCCTCCTCCTTCCTTCCCTCCCTCCCTCTCTCCTTCCCTTCCTCCCTCCTTCCCTCCCTTCACCTTCCTTCCCTCCGTCCCTCTCTCCTTCCCTCCCTTCTTGTAGGCAACTTTATAACCTACACCTTCCTGTCCTGTCTTTAAAAGCACGCAGCAGCAATCTTCTCTCTCTCTCTCTCATTTACTCTCTCCACCTGTCACGCTCTCTTTCTCTCTCTCCGGCTTAATGTACCACACTACCAACAAGAGAGAGAGAGAGAGAGAGAGAGAGAGAGAGAGAGAGAGAGAATGGGCTGGAAAGCATAGACACTGAGAAAGAAATCCCAATCACCCGCCTACAACCCCTAACCACCCACCACAACCCCTAACCACCCCACCACAACCCCTAACCACCCACCACACACAACCCCCAATCACCCGCCTACAACCCCTAACCACCCACCACAACCCCTAACCACCCCACCACAACCCCTAACCACCCCACCACAACCCCTAACCACCCCATTGTAGAGAACTGACTTACCTGCGGAGTGGTAGTTGTCGATATAAGAGATCATGCGGACCCTTACTCTCAGGGTCTGATAAGCACTGTGGTGATGAGACCCAAGGCTCAGGCGACACTCTGCTTGTAGTGAACCCCCCGCCTCTGCTATCTGGGGGAGAGGTTAGTTTGGTGGGGTTTTTTGGTGTTCAAGTTTGTTTGTTTGTGTGTGTTTGTGTGTGTGTGTGTGTGTGTGTTGCTTGGTGGCCAGTTGTAGCTCTGTAATACACAATGTATATATATACAGGTAAATCTAAAACTACAGTATAAACACACACATACATACATACATACATACACAAACACAAACACAAACACACACACACACACAGGCAGATCCCATATTATGTTGGTCCTGGGCATAAATTCGTATCCTTGAAGATAATCCTAACCATCCTATAAGGAGTTTCCAGGATCCTTGAGGAGTTAGGTTATCCAAATATCCTGTGAAAATATATCTCAAGGTTTAAGGATTTGGCTCTGGATAGTCAAGGAAATCAGAACCGGACCAGGATATCCTATTTTTTTTTATCCTTGGGTGAAAAAAGTTGGAAAAAAAATTACAATCGATTTTTTTATATTTGTTTACGATTTTTTTTTTCGATTTTTATATTTTTATTGTGATTATTTTTTTCTTCAGAAGAATTATCCACACCACCTATATTTATCCATTTTTAACATAAGTTACATCCACATTATCCATCCACATCCACACTACCCATCCAAATCCACATTATCCATCCACATCCACACTACCTATCCACATCCACAAAAGATACATCTACACTACCTATCCACATCCACAAAAGATACAGCTACACTACCTATCCACACAAGGTCACAAGGTACATCCACACTATCCATCCACATCCACACTACCCAGAAGAGAGAGTTGTGCGGATAATGACCTACTTGAAAAAAAAAACTGATCACACAAACGAATAAATTTGCTAAACTAAAAATGTTAAAATGTTAAAATTTGAGGATATTAACACAACAACACTTACTGCTGTTATTAACCTGATCGAGAATAATTACTTCCAGTTCAGGACAAACCCGAGTTACGACTTCAGACACCCAGAGCTACTAAGACCAGTGTGTGTGTGTGTGTGCGTGTGTGTGTGTGAGGAGAGAGAGAGATAAAACGCTCCACACACACACACACACACACGAGGCAGCAAGTGACGACCCATAGAAGAATCTACCAAGAGCAGTTAGACCTCGATAAACACAACCTGACGGACGACGAAGACCTCCCCCAGCGTGACTCAAGACCATTGGTGGTAAAGACTCTATATCACCTGGGGCAGAGAAACGGGTTGCCAGATGTTGCTCTCATAATCACGACACCCAGAGCAAGTGAACAATCTCAGCTGATACCGAAGAAACAGAGAAGGAAATATATTTGGATTCTCGCCTTTGGGTATAACAGTCCCTAATGGTGTTTTTCCTTCTTCTCATTCCCCCCGTGGGTTATGCCTCTCTCAATCGTCAGCTGATTACAAGAATAATAGCATGGGATTCTTTTCTTTCGGTACACCGTCAAAAAGATCCAATTTTACCATCATCTTACGTTCTGTGGGTTACGACTTTCTCACCCCCCCTAAAATGTCAAAGGACAAGTGCAGGGGATTCTAGTCCATACGAAGTTAAACACTAAGATCCATTTTCACCTCGTCTTACTGGTTGTGGGTTACGCCTCTCTCACCCCCCCTCACACCTGGTAATGGAAGTAGTGAGGGAGATTCGCCCTTCAGTACTCCTCATCACAAGGACCATTTTTCCCCCGCCACGAGTGCCTGGAGATTGCGTCTCTCTTAACTCCCGACATCAACACTAATAAAAGCAAAAGCAATTGGATATAAAAGTGTGAGGGAAACAGGTAGTGGGTGAAAGGAGGGTAACACAGGTAGTGGGTGAAAGGAGGGTAACACAGGTAGTGGGTGAAAGGAGGGTAACACAGGTAGTGGGTGAAAGGAGGGTAACACAGGTAGTGGGTGGAAGGAGGGTAACACAGGTAGTGGGTGAAAGGAGGGTAACACAGGTAGTGGGTGGAAGGAGGGTAACACAGGTAGTGGGTGTGAAGGAGTAGTAACACAGGTAGTGGGTGTGAAGGAGTAGTAACACAGGTAGTGGGAGAGATATCATTGAGAGATGGCAAGAGATCAAGAGATATTGGAAACGACTCCTGAGTGACACTGCGAACAGAAGACACCACAAGAATAATCCTGAGAGATACTGAGAGACGCTGAGAGATACTGAGAGAAGCCGAGAGATACTGAGAGAAGCTGAGAGATGTTGAGAGATACTGAGAGAAGCTGAGAGATACTGAGAGAAGCCGAGAGATACTGAGAGACGCTGAGAGATGTTGAGAGATACTGAGAGAAGCTGAGAGATACTGAGAGAAGCCGAGAGATACTGAGAGACGCTGAGAGATGTTGAGAGATACTGAGAGAAGCTGAGAGATACTGAGAGATGGTGAAAAATACTGAGAGAAGCTGAGAGATACTGAGAGACGCTGAGAGATGTTCACAAATACTGAGATACTGTATGTGAGTGAGAGATGAATACTGAGAGAGAGAGAGAGAGAGAGAGAGAGAGAGAGAGAGAGAGAGGATGGATGGGAGGGGCCTACTGGACATGGCTGGTTGATTGGCTGTATATCTGTCCAGTCACCTGCTGGGTCTTGCTGGCGGCAGGTAGGTGGTGGTGGTGGTAGGTGGTGGTAGGTGGGTGGGTGGTAGTGGTAGGTGGGTGGTAGTATTGAGGAAGTGGGTCACGGATGAAGATTGAGTTCAGAGGAGACGAGGAAGTTAACCTAACCATCCTAACCTAACCTAACCTAACTTCACGCTTCATTAACTTAAACTCTCCTCCCTTCTCCTTCTATCTCTCTCTCCCTGCCTCTCTCCTCCTCTCCTTCCCTTCCTTTCTCTTCCCCTTCCCTTCCCTCCTTCTCTCCCACACCCTCCTCACGTGACCATCCCCCAAGGCAAATTTCAAGACTTACTGGACAATTTTCATCTCAGACTTTACGTTTTACAAGCAATAAGTGGGGGGAGGAGGTTAAGACTATTACTATTACTACTATTGCTACTACTACTATTATTGCTGCTACTATTACTGTTACTAATATTGTTGCTACTACTACTATTATTACTATCACTACTACTACCACAATAAATGAAATCATTATACTAATACTACTACTACTATTCTTGCTACTATTACTATTACCACTACTACTACTACTACAGCAACTAAAATCATTATTATACTACTACTATTACAAGTACTACTACTATTACAACTACTACTACTATTACCACTACTCATTATACTACCAACAACACCAACAAAAACCACGAATTTAAACCGAAACAGCAACATTATACCCCCCCCCCCATGTTAAATATAAACCATAAGACGGCCTTTATTAAACCATAAATTCCTAAACCCCAGCCCACCATAACAACTTAGAGTACACCTTCTATCTTCACTTATGACTTTGACCTTTGACCTCTCACTAATAAATTCTAATGCTTGAACGCCTCCTCCTCTCACTCGTGACCTGTGCCCATCTGTCAAGGGAGAGTTTCATTACGGAAGACCCATCTGTTTTGTGGGGATGGGGGGAAGGAGAGAGGGGGGGTGGGAGGGGGGTTGGTGTGGAGGGGGTGAGTGGGGGTTGGTGTGGAGGGGTGAGTGGGGGGGGTGTAGAGGGCATGTGTGTGTGCTTGTGAGTGTGTCTATTCATTGAAATATACTTTGGTGTATGTATGTATGTATGTATGTATGTATATATGTATGTATGTATGTATGTAGTTTTTTCTGTTTGTTGTACATGTCTATTAAAACAAACAAACAAACAAAAACCTCTAATTATCCCAGTTTTATTTTTATTGATGTTTTAATCAAGGTGTTTTACTATCGGTCTAAACCAGATGTTATAAAAAAAACTAAAACAGACTGTAAACAAACCCACAACCTTTACTTCCGGTTTTCGTAACATCGTTTTAACATCCGCATTACATAAACGAGAATAAAAACACCGTAATATAAAAAATAAATAAATACAAAAAACCTCTCTGCGTTTGTAATGTTTTTTTTCATTTTAAAACAACATTAAAATAAATAAAAGTGTTCAGTTGTGTCATAATTGTCTTAACACCAGCATCACCAGGACGATTATGTGACCCGGAACAAAACAGGTGTCGTAAAAATAGACTCTCTCTCCGTTCCGGTTTGTTTTATGGTTTAATACCATTAGTACCAGGATGAGCTAATGGTAGTGAGGTCATAACAACTATCTACTAGTACTATCACAACAACCATCTACTAGTACTACCACAACAACCATCTACTAGTACTACCACACAACCATCTACTAGTACTACCACAGCCACCACAGATTACTGTCATGACTACCACCCCTAATAGCCTGGTAGAGGGATTAAGTAAACTATTAACACACATAGAATTGTAAACCAGTCAACCGGTAAACCAGTCAACCATTAAACCAGTCAACCATTAAACCAGTCAACCATTAAACCAGTCAACCATTAAACCAGTCAACCATTAAACCAATCAACCGGTAAACCAGTCAACCATTAAATCAGTCAACCATTAAATCAGTCAACCATTAAACCAATCAACCGGTAAACCAGTCAACCATTAAACCAGTCAACCATTAAACCAATCAACCGGTAAACCAGTCAACCGGTAAACCAGTCAACCAGTAAACCAGTCTACCAGTAAACCAGTCAACCAGTAAACCAGTCAACCAGTAAACCAGTCAACCAGTAAACCAGTCAACAGCTCTACCGACACACGTATGCAAATTACTACCAGGCAGACTAGACTGTTTGAGCCTTGAAATATAGACTGTCTATAGTGAATATAAACTGTTTCCTTTCTCTCTCTCTCTCTCTTTTTTTTTCTCCCTCTCTCTTTGTCTCTCTCTCTCTTTTCTCTGTCTCTCTCCGTCAATAAACTGTCCACACACACACACACACACACACACACACACACACACACGAGAAGTAAAGTGCTTTGATGAGATGCTTGTACTCACACGTCAAATTCATCTGTTTTTTTTTCTTTTTTTGCTGGAAATTTTAATGTTTATTTTCATGTTTATTTTATTTATTTATTTTTTTTTATTATTTTTTTTTCATTTCCCTGACCAAAATCGTAGTAGAGTCCTTGCAATATCTGTCAGTTGGTTGAGTCCCTCTGTTGACATTCCTGCAGCGGACACGACCATCCTCCCAGGGGGTAAAAAAAAGAGGTGGGGGGAGACTGATGAAGGAGGGGGAAGAGAGAGAGGGGGGGAAGATGGGGGGGAGAGGGGAGGAGGATGAGAATGAAGAAGGAATGAGGATTAGAAGGGAGGAGGAAGAGGAGAAAAAGGAGAAGGAAGAAGTAAGACGGGGAAGGAAGAAGAAGGAGGAGGAGGAAGAAGAAGATATAGAGGCAAGAATCAATGCGTTGAATAGTTGAAGTCCAGCGCTACAGGTGGTCAGGAAATGATGCCCTTTACTGTATTATTATTATTATTATTGTTATTATTATTATTATAACGGAGATACAAACATAAAAACAACAACAGTACACACCCCCCACCCTTTAGGAAGCCCTGTTTACCTCCCCCCCTTCCCTCCCTCTCCCCCCCCCACCCAAACTCCCATCCCAACATTGTCAAATCGATTTCACTCTGCGATAGGGGGGGTGGGGTGGGTGGGGGTGGGTGGTTAAGCCTGATGCCTTCCCTGGTGTCCTGAAGCCTCAATGTCCTGAAAGGCGCCTGTCATCATTTCTTTTTGCACAGCAGTAAGAAGAGCCAGTTTATATACAATCCTATTACCCGGGATTATTGCGTATACTCTTCGTTGATTAAATGAGGAAAAGTGATTAACAGGAAGAGGGAGGGGAGGGAGGGAGGGAGGGAGGAGGGAGGGAGGGAGGGAGGAGGGAGGGAGAGAGGGAGGAGAGGGAGAGATGGGGAGAAGTTATTGAGGATCTGGTGGAAATACTCGACCTGCTGTGATGGTTGGTCAGTCAGTCAGTCAGGCAGGCACGCAGGTAATCCATCTACACACACACACACACACACACACACACAGAAGGTTAAGAGAATGTAGGTGATGACGACTGTTGATTGCGAGATAATGAAGGACGACTCTCTCTCTCTCTCTCTCTCTCTCTCTCTCTCTCTCTCTCTCTCTCACCTGTTGTCCCGGCACGTGGAGAGACAGGCCATAATAATCGTGGAGGTGACTCAGTCGATAAGATTTGACGAAGTTGGATCCCACCTGTAGAAGAGAGTCAGTGATTAGTGGTGTCAGGTGATTAGTGGTGAGTCAGGTGATTAGTGGTGAGTCAGGTGATTAGTGGTGAGTCAGGTGATTAGTAGTAGTCAGTGATTAGTAAAGTAGAATTATTAATTAACAATGACTCACCTAATTAACAGTGACTCACCTAATTAATAGTGACTCACCTGATTAACACTGACTCACCTGATTAACAGTGACTCACCTGATTCACACTGACCTCCACTAACTACCTCACCTAACCTCAATAATCAATTAACCAGGTAACATAAAGTTCACCAGAGTTAATTAAACACCTGACAACAGCTCATTTGCATACGTGACGTGACCTTTCAACACAGGTATGAGTTCACATTAACAAAAGAATAATTAAACATATATAATTAACATCGTAATAACCGGGGAAAAAAACACAATTAAAAACATCTAGACAAGGGTTCCTATATTAATGAGAGGTAATTATCATAAAATTATAATTTGTATTTGCTATAATTATTATTATTTTTTTTTTGTGTGTAGTGGAATATAATAAAAATGAAATTGTGGGTTAGGTTGGGTTGGGTTGGGGTGGGGTGGGTGGGGTGGGGTGGGGTGGGGGTGGGTGGCTGGGGTTAGTTGGGGTGGGTGGGAGGGAGTGGAGGAGGGGGTGGGTGGGGGTGGGGTGGGTGGGTGGGTGGGTGGGTGGGGGTGGAGGAGGGAGTGGAGGGGTGGGGTGGGAGGTGGGGTGGGGTGGGGGTGGGGTGGGGTGGGTGGGAGGTGAGGTTGTGGAGAGAGAGAGAGAGAGAGAGAGAGAGAGAGGGGGGCATTGGAGAACGAAACACAGACCGAAACAAAACAAAACAAATAAAACAATACAAAAAATAAAATAAACAAACAAGTAAGGTATTAAAAAGCGAAGGGCTATTATTGATTGAATTAATTAACGTGACATATTACCTAACAAAGACATAATGAAGAAAATGAGTGTGTGTGTGTGTGTGTGTATGTGTGTGTGTGTGTGTGTGTGTGTGTGTGTGTGTGTGTGTGTAGAGAGAGTCAGTAAGATACTCAGACCATTTAAAGCAGGTCGCTCTCTCTCTCTCTCTCTCTCTCTCTCTCTCTCTCCCACTGTCACACACACACACTCCCCCAAACCACCGCTGCATAACTCTACATGTTAATAGCCCGTGTGTAAGGGTTCCAAGCTGTCACCTATCTACCTAAGCTTCGTATCTACCTATCTCCCGACCTATCTCCCTACCTATCTACCTACCTACCTCCCTACCTCCCTACCTACCTCCCTACCTATCTAACTATCTATAATTCCTTTCTACAAATTGAACGTTAGATGGAATGAGAGAGAGAGAGAGAGAGAGAGAGAGAGAGAGAAACTGGGGTAAGTGCAATTTTGGTAGAACAATTATGAAAGGTGGAAGATAGGAAGGAGGGAAGGAGGGAGAGGGTAGGGTAGGGAAGGAAAGAGGGAGGGAAGGAAGGTGGTAGAGAGGGAAGGAAAGAGGGGATGCTGGCAGAATGGGATTGATGGATGGAGGAAGGAATGATTGATTGATTGAGGTAATTATATCCCTGGAGACGCAACAGCTTAGGACATATGTAGGGAAGGAAGGAGGGAAGGAAGGAGAAAAGGAAGGGAGGAGAGAAAGAAAGAAAGGAAGGAAGGAGAGAAGGAAGGAAAGAAGGAAGGAAGGAAGGAAGGAAGAAAAGGAGTGAGGGCTACAGGTGATTACAGAAACATACAGGTGGCTACAGGTTATTTAATTAAGTGATAAACAGACAAGAGAATCGCCACATCATTCTTATTACCTGTGTGTGTGTGTGTGTGTAAACCTCCCAGTGTATGTTATCATTTCCGCTCATGCAGTCTACTCACACTCTGACCTTTAAATAACAACAACAACAACAACCAATTCGAGACAACTACATGTTTTTTTTTTAATCACAGGATGAACTAAGGGATTAAGTGGAGCTCATCCTATACTCTCCTTGTCTTACGCGCGAGTGACATTCATCCTGGGTGAAAAAAACAAACACCACCACCACCACCACACACACACACAGACACACACACACACACACACATACATACATACACACACACACACACGCATACATACATACATACATACACACACGCACATACAATGGCTAAGTCTGTTGTATTGTTGTTGATGATGATGATGATTGACAGACAGACAGGTAGGGGGGCAAGATAATGACTCATAGTTTAGGTATGATGACTCACCCACACCTGGTAAAACAGGATGATGACTTTATGGTGGTATACAATGAATGATGACTCAGAGATGGTATATAGTACCTGGGTTGCCTCAAGGTACCATTGGAAGACCTCGAAGTCTCACTGAAAGTACCTGAGCTCCCACACTGTACCATTGGAAAACCTCAAAGTACCATTGGAAGTACCTGGGCTCATTCAAAGCACCATTGGAACTCCCTAGGCTCCCTCGAAGTACCACTGGACTACCTCAAAGTACCACTGGACCTACCTGGGCTCCTTCGAAGCACCATTGGACTACCTCAAAGTACCACTGGACCTACCTGAGCTCCCACACTGTACCATTGGACTACCTCAAAGCACCACTGGACCTACCTGGGCTCCTTCGAAGTACCATTGGACTACCTCAAAGTACCATTGGACCTACCTGAGTTCCTTCGAGGTACCATTGTAGTGTGGGTCTGTGGTCGGCAGGTAGAGGTGGTCTAGGTTGGCAGCCGATCTTGATGAGCTCTGTCGCCTCGTAAATCTCCCTCGCCCCCACCAGCTGCGGGGCCGTCAAGGGCTCTCCTGAAGGGGTAGGCAAGCGGGAGGGACGTGTTAGATGCTGGTAAGGGAGAAAATAAGGGAGTTATGAGTTGGTAAGGGAGAAAATAAGGGAGTTATGAGTTGGTAAGGGAGAAAATAAGGGAATTATGAGTTGGTAAGGGAGAAAATAAGGGGGTTATGAGTTGGTAAGGGAGAAAATAAGGGAATTATGAGTTGGTAAGGGAGAAAATAAGGGAATTATGAGTTGGTAAGGGAGAAAATAAGGGAGTTATGAGTTGGTAAGGGTGAAATTAAGGGAGTTATGAGGCTGTGGGTGGTAGGGGGAAAATTTGGGATATTTTGTCCTGGTTGGGGGGGGAAGAAACTGGGAAAATTTTGAACAATGTGAAAAATATTTATCTCAAGTTCTTTGGAGAAATAAAAAAAAAGGGAAAATATCTTATTCCTTGAGCAGATAAGAAGGAATATTTACGAGTTAGGGAAGGAAAGAGGGAAATTCCAGACTCGGTAGGGAAGGATATTGACGAGGTAGGGGAGAAAGGGCGAGAACAAGCCCCCTCTCTCTCTCTCAGCCCTTCATAGCAGACACGTCCAATACAATTCCAACTTTGTATACCGTGAAACCTCCATATAACGGACTTTAAAGTGAAGGAAGATCGTTAAATCGAGGTTCCGCTAAATGTGAAACCTCCATATAACGGACTTTAAAGTGAAGGAAGATCGAGGTTCCGCTAGATGTGAAACCTCCATATAACGGACTTTAAAGTGAAGGAAGATCGTTAAATCGAGGTTCCATTATATGTGAAACCTCCATATAATGGACATGGAATCTAATGGGTAAAGTCCGTTAAAAGGAGGTTTCACAGTAATGGAACCTCGATATAATGCACTTCCTTCTCTATAAAGTCCCTTATATGGAGGTTCCACTGTATTTGAAAGCAATTAAACAAAACAATAATAATAACAATAATAACAACGATTTTATTTGCACTTTCTTTTTACTTTCTAATAATAGTTCCCCTTTTACTTCCTATTTTAACTCATTCATATATTTATGCTTTCTCTCATACCGTTTCACTTTCACCGTTTGATACTTTCACTTACTCATTTTCACACCTTTTCTCACTCTCACTCACATTTCCCACTTTCTCTCATTCTCTCTCACTCACTCACTAATTCTCTCACTCACTCACTAATTCTCTCACCCACTCACTAATTCTCTCACTCTCTCACTTTCTCTCACTCCTCCCTCACAGGTGTACAGGTGTGTTGTTCTCCTCCACAACACTGCCTCAAGACGTTCACTTGATGCATCACAACAAGACCCAGTCATTAATACTGCTGGAAACATTAGCCAGGTGTGTGTGTGTGTGTGTGTGTGTGTGTGTCAGTGTGTGTGTGTGTGTGTGTGTGTGTGTGTGTGTGTGTGTGGTGTGTGTGTGTGTGTGTGTGTGTGTGTGTGTGTGTGTGTGTGTGTCAGTGTGTGTGTGTGTGTGTGTGTCAGTGTGTGTGTGTGTGTGTGTCAGTGTGTGTGTGTGTGTCAGTGTGTGCGTGTGTGTGTGTGCGTGTCAGTGTGTGTGTGTGTGTGTGTCAGTGTGTGTGTGTGTGTGTGTGTCAGTGTGTGTGTGTGTGTGTGTGTGTGTGTGTGTGTCAGTGTGTGTGTGTGTCAGTGTGTGTGTGTGTGTGTGTGTGTGTGTGTGTGTGTGTGTCAGTGTGTGTGTGTGTGTCAGTGTGTGTGTGTCAGTGTGTCAGTGTGTGTGTCAGTGTGTGTGTCAGTGTGTGTCAGTATGTGTGTGTGTGTCAGTGTGTGTGTCAGTGTGTGGTTTAATTGGGTTTTACCTCTCGGTTCAAGCTGAAGTATTTTTTAACTCTAATAAAAATATTGGCTACCTGTGGCCCGTTCACAACACACACACACTGACACACACACTGACACACACACACACACACACACACACACGTTTATAAAATCCGTGTGCACTTTTAAACAATTATATAAACAATCTTTAATTGACATATATAGGATAATTTTAGTCAAGGTTTAGCGCGATTACTTTAATCTAATAAGTCAAACAACCACTACTAACACAACAAGGTAATGTAACACGTAAAACAACCACAACTACTAACACAACAAGGTAATGTAACACGTAAAACAACCACAATTACTAACACAACAAGGTAATGTAACACGTAAAACAACCACAACTACTAACACAACAAGGTAATGTAACAAGTATTATTATTCCAAACTCTTGATATAGGTATAGTATGTTTTATATATTCATACAAGTTATTGATATACAGCCCTGTTAGTTAAACACGTCGGGATAATACCGTAGATTTTATACCACGTCTCTTATTGGCTTGAGGGAGAATGACCGAGGGAAACAGAGAGAGAGAGAGAGAGAGAGAGAGAGAGAGAGAGAGAGAGAGAGAATAGTATAAATAAAGACCCGACAGCAGCCCTCTTGTCCACTACCTCTTAAGATGTCCCCACACACACACACACAAAACGCTTCCGTGATGCCCGCTGAAAACCACTCCCACGACCCTCTGACAGAGACACGATCATCCTTCCGTCCTTCCTTAGGCTTTAGTAAATCCCTTTGTAATATTTATATGTATTTGTGACACTTGCTATATGCTTCTGGTGGTATTGTGACAGCACTAGGCCCCTGGTTTCTCTATCAAGGAATAAACTACATGTATTGAAATTGAAATAGTATGAACAACTATAAAAAGTCTACGGTGTCATCCTGCCACGTTTAACTACCTATAATGCATACCGTATTACCGTATATCTATAACTAGTACGTATATTTAACACGTTAGTTATATCACAGGTTAGAATTATATGAAGTAATTATATGCTGACCTTATTATATTTACCTTCTATATATATCATTAATATACAATGTTATTATAGTTTATAAAGTGAACATGGGGATTATATTAGTAACTTCCTATAATATAAGTGTTTGGTTTATATATATAGCGGTATAGGTAGAGTAATTTACAGACATATAGAGATAGATATAATGAAATAATTGAAAAGCATAGAATAAAATTACACACACACACACAGACAGCTATACACACACACAAACACACTCACAGATACTCATACACTGACGCTCACACACACACACACACACACACACACACACACTACAACCATTACGACATATAAACAGGTTACGTCATAGGTAAACAAGAGAGCTTACTAATATTTCAACATTCCTCTAGTGGGTCCAAACTCCCTCACCCACCCAATCCCACACCCACCACAAAAATAATATTCTTTCATAAAATGCCTTTTGGCTATCGACCACATACCAGTTTTTTTATTTATTTGTATTTATTTTTTATTGGAAAACAGGAATTCGGTATTTTATTAAAAGTAGAATTTTTTTATGGTGTGTGTGTGTGTGTACGTATCTGTGTGTGTAAATGTGTGAGTCTGTTTATATATCTGTACGTCTGCGTGTGTGTGTGTGGTATATGTATGTGAGTGGCCTTTTAAGAGTGTGTGAGTGTATGTGTGTGTACGTCTTGTGTGTGTGTCTGTATGTGTGAGCGTCAGTGTATGAGTATCTGTGAGTGTGTGTGTCAATACGCCAGATAATAAGACACCCACATACACCCCCTCGTCTGGTAATGGTCATAACTCATCCACTAATACAATGTAAACAAACAAGATGGCTGACGAAGGGGGAAACACCCTATCTCACACCTTACTCTCTCTCTCTCTCTCTCTCACACTTTCTTCCATCCGCCCTCTCTGATTGGCCAGGATTAAGAAATAGGTTCTCTGAGTGGCCCTACAGGTATTAAGAGATTATCCTCATCTTGACCTTCAGCGACTTCAGTATATGACCTTTATTCAAGATACCTTAAAGTCAGGTCTGGTCTGGTCAGGTCAGGTCAGGTCAGGTCAGGTCTGGTCTGGTCAGGTCAGGTCAGGTCTTGTCTCGTCAGGTCAGGTTAAACCAAATTGTATATGTTGATAAAAAAGGTCAGTTCAGGGCAGGTAAGGTCAGGTTAATTAAGATTGTCTAGTCAGGATAATGAAGGTCAGGTTATATAATCAAGGTAAGGTTAGGTTAGGTCAAGTCTGATAAGGTCAGTTGAATTACGTTTATATATCAGTTTAAGTGCACACACACACACACACACACACATACACACACACACGCACACATACCGTAGTCTACTTAACTACATAAAAGAGTCCACGTAGGCAAGACAAATTAGCCTCAAGGTGTAGGTGAAGGTCCCGACGGCGTAGCAGAAGGGGAGGGGGGGGCGTAGGTACTTACCTGAGGCAGACGAGGACCGAGCGGCATATTTGCATAATCAAAACGTGATGTCCTGCCAGCTGGGACAGTGGGGGAGGTGGGGGGAGGGGGGGAGGAAGGAGGGGAATGGGGGAAGGAGGGGGAATGGGGGAAGGAGAATGCCAGATAAAGAAAAGTATAAGGAAGGAGGGAAGGAGGAAGGAAGAGGGAGGGAGAAGGATACTGAGAGGGAGACCAAATCATCACCATCCTCACCCTTCCCAAGAAATATTGAAGGGAGAGATGGGGAAGGAGGGAGGAAAAGTAGCGAGAGAGGAAAGGAGAGAGAGAGAGAGAGAGATTAAGTAAAGGAAAGAAGAAGTTAGTGAGCGAAGGAGGAAGGAAAGAAAGAAATGAGGGAGAGACGGAGGTAGGTAAGAGGGGGGGAGAGGAAGGAAGGAAGGTATCGAGGCAGGTGTCCAACAGGGAAGGTGGAGAGAGTCAGGTAAGGTCCACCACACCCCAGCACCATGTAAACAAACATTGGCCCGTGCGCAGAGTGACTACCAGATGAAAACAAAAATAAATAAATAAAATAAAATAAAAATACCACGCGAATAAAAAATCACAATAAAAAAAAAACTTCAAAAAAATATAAAAATTATTCTTAAGGTAATATTTGGATTTTTTATTTATATTGTGAATTATTAAAGGTTAAAAAAAAAATAGTTTAAGACATTACAGCGTTATATTACACCTGCCTTAATGAAGCTGATAAGTGTATTGTACTGTTTTACACACACACACACACACACACACACACACAAACACACACACAACACACAAACACATTTCATTAATTTCTTACATGCTCTCTAAGGCAATAGCGACAGCATCTAGCGCCCCACAGACAGCCTCACCCTCCAAACCTCACACACAAACTTTCATCATTACGTTAATTTAACATAATTTCATTTAATATTCTTGCGGGTAAAACGTGAGAGAGAAAGTTGTTTGTTATGATGAAAAATTTAATAAGACACACAGGGAATATTTTGGGGGGAGTAGAGTGAGAGGGAGGTGGAGGGAGAGGGAGGAGTGGGGGGAGGTGGGGGAAGAGGGAGGAGTGGGGAGAGGGAGGAGCCTGGGGGAGAGGAAGGAGTGGGGGAGAGGAAGAGTGGGGGAGAGGGAGGAGTGGGGAGGGTGAGGGAGAAGATAGGGAGGTTGGGGTGTGTGAGGGAGTGGGGGTGTGTGAGGGAGTGGGGGTGTGTGAGGGATGGGGGTGAGAGGAGGTAGGGGGCGGAGGGGTGAGGAGAGGTAGGGGGCGGGGGTGAGAGGAGGTAGGGGGGCGGAGGGGGAAGGAAGAGGGGGTGAGGAGAGGGAGGATGAGGGGTGGAGGGGTGTCTCTCCAAGTCTTTAACAAATGCAGTGGTGAGT